GACACTGCTCTCCAAGCTGCCGGGCTGCATATCAACAATCGGATCGTTATCGGCCGATATGGCTTGTTAAAAATTGGCCATCGGTATTGGTCCTAAAAATCTCTGTTTGTGCACTCCTAGTTACAGTTATGTTTTTTTTTTCTTCCTAATCTTTCTTTTTTTTGATAGAAATACAAAGTCAGTTCTTGATTGTTTCTGGTCACTGGGGTCAGTGCTAATGAAAACTTTCTCCCCTGCCCACACATCTTAGTGATTCTTTTTCTTTTAAATGTTATTTGCTAACAATGTGGATGAGCTGTCTAAAGTTCCATCTCCTCCCTGCCTTGTTCTGTCACTCACTTCTATTATGCAATTGAAGCCCCCCACTGTTATCTTTAGTCTCCCTTGAGCATGTAAACTGCTAGCTTTCTAAGCAGAGCCCTTGGCCCCCTCCTGCTCTGGTGGTGCATATGTGTTGAAAACTTCTAATTCCGCTCCCCCAGCTGATAGTATCATTTGCTGCAATCTGCCAGTGGTGATATCTTCCACCTACTTTGCTTTCTTCTCTGGATTCTTGAATATTACTGCCACTCCAGCCGTTTTTGTTTTCATTTGTCCCTGATCACCAGGATAGTCCCCATCTCCACCTCTTCTCCAAGTGCTTATAATCCCTTTCCTCTGGTATCCCACATTCTTGTAGGTAGATTATGTCTGCCCTTACTTGTTTTAACATTGGTTTGATCTGTTCCCATCTTTTCCTCGTTAGTACGCTCCTGCCATTAATAGATGCTATAATCAGTGGTGTTGTGCTTGTGTTAAAGAGTGCTCGTGTCCCTTAAGAGTTTGCTGGTACTGCTGCTCTCTGTGGTTGACTTGGCACTCTGTGGGTATAGGCTGTTGGGTTTGCAGTCATTTTAGGTGGTGTGGTTAATATGGTTGACCCTAGGAAGGGAAGGGAATGATGGGACTGACTGCTACTGGTTGATGTGATAAACATGACAGACCTTGCCTACACTGAGAACTCTATTATGAAGAGATTTCCCTAGTGTAAAGTAGTCATGGGGAGACTTGGTGAAAGTTTATGCAAGAGCATCATTGACCCTCTGAGATGATTTAGGCTGATTTAGAGCTGGCATTGTGTAACTTACACCTATTACTCTGAACATTACTCCTGAGTGTTGTCCCTTGAGTTTTAGTCGTCTCTTGAAGTTCCTACGGTAGTTTAATTTATATCTGATGAAGGCATTGCAAGAAAAAAAGGACATAAGCCAAGAGGAGACCTTACCTCCTTAAAACCTTCGTTTGTGACTCATAGTTCTGGGATACCTTTCACTTGGTCGGGGCAATTGATTATAAGTTCTGTGAGAGTTTGAATGTAAGGTTGTTTAACACAAGCTTTGAGATCAGTGTTTAGCTTGCTGGCCCATTATATCTTGTTAGTTATACGTTGATATGTATCTGGTAAGGAAATATAAAGTACTTAATCAGCCTGTTGTAGACACTCATAGGGCTTTTAGGCCAATAGTGTACATGGTAGTCACAAGTAAATCACATCAGCAACAAAGGTTTGTTACTGTTAGCAGATTCCTCTTTGTTTTGTAGCAAGCTGAAGTGCGATTGAAGTGTCTTCTGGGACTTCAGGGAATTTATAGAAGAAAAGAGCTTGTTTCCAAAATGGATCTCTTTACTAGCAGATTCAAGGTAAGTGGATTAACATTTTCTGTTTCTTATATTTGTTTTGACCAGGCACATGGCATTTGATATTTTGAGCAAACTGGGCTCCTCACTGTGTTGGCCTGCATGGGCTAAGCATGTTGTGGAGATGGCATGCTTGGCTCTTTTAGTGGGTAATTTGATGACATGCTTCTCTTCATTTATGAAAACATGTCCCTTTTGCTCTGTCTAATGTTTAACATGGTATTGACAGATCCTGTGTACAACTATGTTCATTCTCTTGGCCACAAAGATGTCAACGTTGGACATCCCAAGGACTCCCTGTTCCCTTTTCCCACCTCAGAAATGGATTTATATGTTAGACCTTAGTTCATAGAATCCTAGAAAATTAGGGTTGGAAGGGACTTCAGGTGGCCGCCTAGTCAAGACAGGAACATCCCCAACTAGATCATCCCAGCCAAGGCTTTGTCTAGCTGGGTCTTAAAAACCTTCAAGGATAGAGATTCAACAACCTCTTTGGGAAAACTGTTCCAGTGTTTTACTAACCTAGTGAGAGTTTTTTCATAATATTGAATCTAAACTTCCCTTCCTGCAACTTGAGACCTGTTGCTCATTATTTTGTCATCTGCCACCACTGAGAACAGTCTAGCTCCATCCTCTTTTGAACCCCCCTTCAGGTAGTTGAAGGCTTTTATTAAATCACCTCAGTCTTCTCTTATGCAGACTAAATAAGACCAGTTCCCTCAGCCTGTCCTCATAAGTCATGGCCCCCAGCCCCCTCACCATTTTCGTTGCCCTTTGCTGGATTCTCCAATTTGTCCACATTCTTTCTGTCATAGGGGGCTGGAAACTGAACACAGTACTCCAGATGTGGCCTCATAAGTGCTGCACAGAGGGGAATAATCACTTCCCTTGCTCTGCTGGTAACTGTTCTACCGATGTAGCCTAGTGTGGTTTTAGCCTTCTTGGCAGCAAGGGCACACTGGTGGCTCATATTCAGCTTATTGTCCACTGTAACCCCCAGGTCCTTTTCTGCAGAGCTGCTGCTCAGCCAGTCAGCCCCCAGCCTGTACTGGTGCACAGGATTGTTTCATCCTAAGTGCAGGACTTTGTGTTTCACTTAGAACAGAACAATCCCGTGCACCAGTACCAGCTGGGGGCTGACTGGCTGGGCAGCAGCTCTACAGAAAATGACTTTGGGGTTACAGTGGACAATAAGCTGAATATGAGCCAACAACGTGCCCTTGTTGCCAAGAAGGCTAAAGGCACACTAGGCTGCATTGGTAGGAGTGTTGCCAGCAGGGCAAGGGAAAGTGATTCTTTTCCTCTATTCAGCTGAGTAGTCCTGTGTTACCACTGCTGTCAGTTACCACTGCTATTCAAATGCATGACTGCAGATTCAGCATGACTCTGAACCTTGCAGAAGGGTCTCCAGTCTGAACAAGTCAAATACTAGATTGTAAGCAATTAGTCTTTGATAGCCTGTTGGGTGACCTTAGTAGAGACCAGTATGATTCTAATAGCCTGCACTGATCATGTTGCCACATACAGGTTTATTCAAGCACTCTACATTTTAAGATTGCCTTGGGTTATGATTTCATCAGCTATTATTATCCCAATAGGGTGAGGCCTTGTCAGTACTTGGGTAGGAAGACCCAGGATGTCGCAAGAAGGGATCTTGATGGCTCAGTAGTCATTACTTTTCCCTCTGTGTTAGCACTGACCCAGTACTACCGCATGGTGGAGTAGTACAAGCTGTTCTGCCAACAATGCTCTTTTTCAGCTGAGGTGTAAAAGACAAGCCTTGGCTGTTTAGGGTTCCAAAAAATCTCTTGGGCCTTCTTGAAAGCAGCTGGGTATTAATGCTGGTGGCTCAGTTTTAACTCTGGTAAGTAAAATTCTGCCCTTCTAATTTCTGCTTATGTTGTAAACAGTATTACAGCAGTCCTGTTTATTTCCAGACTTCATCTTTGTAGCATTGTTACACACTGCCTAACAGCTGAGGGGTGTTATTTTAGAGGGGCCTGGATTTCAGAGACTGATAATGTGATTCCAATTTGTAGGGTGCTTGGAGATCCCTCTGTTTGAAAGATGCTGTATGAATGTAGTAGTATAACAAGTTGTATGCAAACGTGCTGTTTTAGACTCCTCCAATATTCAAAGGGCACCCTTTCAAAGCAGTCAATCTGTAAATAGTAATTCTGGCTTCTAAAATGATCTTCACATTATTTTGCTCCATCTCTGCATGGCTCTTGAGAATTTTTCAGGGCATGGTGGGTTTGTAGAGCTTCCCCTTTTGTGTGGGCACCTAAAGGGTGGGCAGGTGGAAGACAAAAGGTGAAATAAGTGAATAGCAGTTTCTGTAGTTTCCACCTACCACGCTAAATAAAGGACTTTCAACGAGCCATGGACTGATGTTCTTTTCCTAGTACATCCTCTAGACGTCCTGTGTTCAAGATGCTGTTCTGTTTTGACTCGGGGAATTCTCCTTAAAAGAAAAAAATGGCAGCACTTGAATTTTCATTTAAAAAACCCTCAAACTTTAGAAGTGTAGGTATGTGAATAGCAATTTATCTTAAATGTGCAGGTCTGGGAAGGAGTCTTGTAAAGGCTCAGTGGGGCCTTAGTGTTGCAGCCTTATGCTGTGGCCAGTGCAAAATGTTAGTGTTCCCCACAAACTCTGAGGTAGAGATCCTCTGAGAGGGCTGGCTAGTTGCTTGCTCTTCTATCCCCATGAGGGGCTACATTTCCTGCATGGCCAGCTACAAGAAGGCAAATTCATGAAGTGAGAATATGGCTGGGGATATTCGATAGACTAGAAGCCATGTGATCCAAGACGTGCTCTTTCAACAGGGTTCCAGCTTCTTTTGATAACAGAAATTTGTTCTGTGTAACAGTGGTACTTTGGACTTTACCCTGCTTTAACATACTGAAGTACAATTAGTAATATCTTGCCAATGGTCATTCTTAATTTGAAAACTGCAATTGCTTTCTTGTAGAATTTATGCAATTACTGTTAATCCATGATTAATTTAGTAACATATTGCAGTTGCTTTTCAGGTGTTGGAGAACAACTTGTTAGTAATCAAGTTGCTTTATGTCTCCTAGGAAATAGCTATTGAAATAAGTCTCTTGGCTACTAGGGTTAGATGTGTTGTCTGTAGCAAAAATAAACATATATCCAGAACAGAAAGTGTTACATCTTTTTATTGTCATTTTACACCCATTAGGATCGAATTGTGTCCATGACTCTGGACAAGGACCACGAAGTAGCAGTTCAAGCCATGAAACTCTTGATGCTTATGTCACAGTAAATAATTTCTTTTTTAAAAAATGTACTGTATTGTTGTAATGGGAACAGGGTTCAAATCTACCGTGGGGACTCCATCTTAGACTTAGAACATGCTCAGAAGCCATTACCCCTATAGCAAGAGAGGGTTAACAGTTGGAACTGTTCAAGCCTTGGGATTTCCTTTTGTTGTGGGAAATTTCAATATTTCAAAAATATAAATTTTGAAATGTCCCAATAAAACAAGAACTGACACACTGTGATTTTGGAAAATCAGTTGTTTCACGTTTGACTTTTCCAAAATGAGGTATCCAGCTGCTCAGGAGCCAGAGGGACTCTCCAGGCTGCTCCTGGCATCAGGGACTCCCTTTCCACAGAGTGTGGAACCAAGAAATTCTAAGTCTAAGATCTTTTAGGGTTTCCGGGCTCCTTGGGCATTTGTACATATGCTTGTACTGCAGTGCCAGGCATTTTTAAAAGCTTTATACATTTGTATAAATGGCGAAATGCGTCGGCACTGAGAAAATGGCGGTGGCACAATTTTGAACTAATGCACATTGAAGATTTTTTAGTTACAAAGCACACTGCTGCCATTTTCTGTACACTGATGTGCATTTTGCCGCTTATACAACTGCATACAACACAGCACAGCGTGCATCAGCTCGCGTGTGGAGCAGACTCGATTGAATCTGCTGCAATGTGTTGGATCTCTGGCATGTCGCAGTGTGAAAAGGTATATGTATAAATACCCCGTGTTGTGAAGAGGGGACCTAGGGATTTCCAAAAGCCCCATTTTTGACTGAGCCTCTTAGGACTTCTAGGTTCTCTGATGTAGTACAGGGAACCAGTCTATTAGATGAGGTGGTGGGGAAAATAGGCAAGTTTCTGACAGATATCTGCTTTTGTTTTTGTGAATGTGTTTTGAAACAGAGATGTTCATGTGAAACACTTTGGTTTTGATGAAATAGTACTTTTCAGTGAAAAACTGTTTCATTGGAAAATTCATGACCAGTTTTAGTTATAAGAGGTAGCTGCAAGCTTTAGGTGTGGTGGTATGGACTGAGAGCCAAAGTTAGCATGGTACTACAGAAGTCTGATTCCTTACAATACATTCTACAATACCATGTTTTAGATATGGTAATTTAAAAAAACTTAGGAACAGTAAACTTGCTTTATTCCTTTTTTGATTTTTAATTATTTAAAGTCTCTACATCCCACTGTAGGTATGGGTCGGATTTTAAGATCACACAGGAATCTTAACTGCTTGTGCTTCAGAGTATAACCTGATGCCTCCTGCACTTTTTTGGGAAGGTGTGGCTTCCCTCCATGTACAACCCTGCAAAGTTGTCCAGGGGCATAATAGGTTTTTCCTGACCTAAAAGGTATTAATCACTGCTGGAGGAAGGATGTAGGACTTGATAGCATGGTAAATATTTCTTTTATTGAACCAGCTTTGTGAAACTGAGACTTGTGTTGAGAATGACTTGCCTGAATTAATGACTGGGCCAACTGAAAACCAATTTCACTGTCAGTGCCTCACCCTCTCCATTCATGTAGCAGTGACTTTTTAAGAGTGTTAAAACAGCAGAAGGTGCATAGTGAATTTCTACTGAATTTTAGGTAGGCAGCGCTACCTCAATGGCAGTCTGTATTGTGTGAGAGTACAGACAATCCTCAGACTTACGACTCAATTGGTTCCTGAAAATCATGTCTTAAGTCTCAACGTTGTAACTTGGAACCGATTTTCCCATAGGAAACAGTATTATAAATGGGGGATTGGTTCCTAAACCAAGGCCCGATACCCTATTTTCACCAAAAATAACCCAGAATTTTGTACTCAATTATAGTTGAGTAATTCATTAATGTATTTATATTGTAAATATCAATCATATTGATTTGGAAGGACTTCCTTGAGGAGACTTTGCTGGACATTTTGAAGGGTTCTTGGCTGGAGTCTTCTCAGGAGTCTTGGCTGCTTTCTTAAAGAAAGTGTCCCAGGAAGTTGGGACAGATTATTCTCCGGGGAGATGGGTGATGCAGTGAACTTGTTCAGATCAAGTGTTGTAAAGTTGAAACTGATGTCAGAAAGTTGAAACAGTGTCAATTTATAAACGTTGTAAGTGCAAAACATTGTAACTTGAAACGTCTTAAGTCAAGGATTGTCTGTATGCAAGTGAAATCTATGTAATATAGATAGTAATCTTCTAATGTCTGGTCCTGTGTTTTATGTAACACTACCAGAGTACTCTTGTGAACTGAAGTGAGGCTTTATAATTGGAGCAGCTGACTAAAACTGACTCCCTTGACACTCCACTGACTTAAGTGCCATTTCTTTAGGCCTGCCCCAGCCTCTATATATGAGAAGTGGGTCCATTGTGTATACTCATTCTTGGTATAGCTTGCTCTTTTAAAGGTGGTACCAATGTTGGAGTGACACTAATACTAGATAGGTTACTGCTGCTTATAGAAACACAACATGCATTTTGTATGACATTTGAACCTCCAAGTTGCAAAGAAAGTGAAACAAAGTACAATGCTATGTCTCTGTACATGACATGTCCCTGTGCTAGGAGGAGCAGCACACCATTGTTAAAAGACAATGATGCTTTAAACCAGTTAAGGTTGCTCTTGTTGTTTGAGATAAAGAACAAGCGCTATATTGGCACTGCAGCTGTTTAGCTTCTCTGGCTTCATTGTCAGGATCATGTTTTCACTAAACTTCATGAAAACAAACTATAGTTAAAATGTTCATCGGTTCTTCTTTTCCTGGAAAAACAGGACAAAAACCTGTCCAAACAACATTTACGAATAGGTTTCCAGGATTGAGCAGTGCCTCCTGAAAAGTTTTCTGAACAACACTTGTCCATCATAAAACACGTTTCCTCATAAATAAACTGAGTACATGGGTTTTTTTTTTGATTACGCTATGGCAGAAGTCCAGCAGCCACATGCTTGTTGTCTTTGTTTCTGCTCCATCTGTTGCAGAGCCAGCCTCCCTAGTCACTTTGAGCCCTACAGATTTGGTTTAATTATTGGGAAGATGAAGAAGGGAGTTGGGGACTTAAACAAATAACACACAGATCCAACCAAGAATCATTCCTTTTCTCATAAAATAAGCACTGACCAGTCTAAACATCACTGGTGAAAATTAGGGACTCTAATAAGATTTTTTTACCAAGATCCTGTATCAAGATGCTTTTTCATAGGGGGTAAGTTTTTGCTGGAATACCTAAGTGTTTAGAAGTAACTAAGTGCTGACATTTTAGGAGCAGAGAAGCATTTAATTGGATGATGTACTGGGAAAAGCACTCAAAGCATGTCTGTATTAGGCCTACCTAATACATTAAGCAACACTAAAGTTGTGCAAGATGATGCTGGCATTCATGGATTTGCTCAGAATCAGTAACAACAAAATGCTGCTTATGTAGAAATAACCTTTGTCTAACAGCCTTGATCATATTTGTTTTGCTTACTTGGCAAAACTAAATTTTTATCCCTTTTAGTCATGTCAGGCCATCTCATTTGTGTGCTGGATTTTCGTCTAGTTTTATTGGTAGCAGAATTGTCATCTAGGTTCTCGTTGTGGAATATGTGTTCTGGTGAGGTGCAAGAAGCTTTTTTGTATTCCAGTTTAAGCTGTCATTTGTGCAAGTTAAAGGAACTGCTTTTTCTCATAAGCTCAGCAAATTTAATGTAATTGCCAAGTCTGCTAACATCTGTCACCAGGCTGCCATTTTTAGAGCATAACTTCAGCTGGTTTGTGAGATGTGGCTTTTACTTTTCATCTGGTAATAAGTTTCTGACTGGGTAAATGAATGCATTGGGCAAAATAGCGTTCCCCTCCGCCCAATTCATTTAGCCATCCATTTTTCATTTGAGAGGTTAAGTACATTTATTTGCTGCTGTATTATCATTTTTGAGTGGAACAAGACCTCTCATCAGTATTCTTGTTGAGGATTGTTTCAGTGACTGTTGCCTCATGTTAGCTGTACTCTATATATTTTAAAAACTGTTTTAACTCTCAGTTATAGCTGTGTGCCCTGCCTTGCAGTAGGAAGTCAATACTGCATTTACTTGACTCCCAAGATGAGGTTCCCCCCACATTTAATAATGTGGTGGGGGACCTGCAGCTGCTCCAGCTCTAAATCTGGCTCCTTCTCTACCTGGCAGGGCTGAGGCTATGCTTTTTGCCCTAGGCTGGAGTGGAGTCAGAGCCTGTTGGAGCAGAGTAAGGGTAAGCAGCAGAGAGGGGGAACTGGGCAGAAATCCCAAGGTGTGTTGGGGGGGAAGTTAGGTGGGGGGGGCAGAGGCATTGAGGTGACAGGCAGTAGGTGGGGGCAAGTGGTAAGGGGGACGGGTGGCAGGAGTCAGTGTGTGTGTGTGTGTGTGTGTGTAAGGGGGGCAAAGGACAGGGTTCAACCTGCTTGCCTTCACCCTCCCTTACCACCTGCCCTCCTGCCACTGCTTTCCCTGCTGCAGCAGCAGAGAGAGAGAATTTAAGATGACCCTCCAATAATTAGATTCTCTGCATGGAAAGTTTTAACAAATTCGTAACTTCCATGTATAAAGTCTAATTATTGGAGGGTCACTTTAATTCAGCGTCATCTTGGATTTGAGTAAATATTGTAAATTTGCCTCCTACTGGTCCAGTAAACCACTACATTAGCACTTCTTAAATCTTTTCTCTAACCATGTCTCTATAGGGGGTGCCTATCAGAAGCTGTCAGCTGGTATCTACTAAGTAGGCAGCACATAGCAAACTTTCTCAATGTGCCAGATTATTAGACTAGAAAAAGAAAAAGTCTGGTGCTGACTCAGACCCTTCCAGCAGTGCATAAACCTGTCCGGTGTAAATCGCACATTATTTTTTCCATGTCCTCCCTAGTTCTTCAGATGTTTATACCCATCTGTTGCAGTGTCTTATTAAATATCAAGTTCTTTGGGTCAAAGGGTTTTTTTTCTAGAGTGCAAAGCGAGATGGGACACTGATCTTGGCTGGGTCTGTGAATGCTGTCGTCCTG